TCCAGTCTGGGTGACAGAGTGAGACTCCAACTCAAAAAAAAAAAAAGAAAAGAAAAAAGTGCTGCTCTCAGTTCTGTAAGACTCTGTCGCTTTGTTACTTCTCAGCTGCCTTTCACTGCTCTGGTGTCAGTTATATATCAGTCCAGATTCTTCCCAGGACAGTAAATGCCTTGAGGATTGGATTGTTAGTTTAATTTGTTCCTTGGACGCCAAATGCCCAGTGCCCAGTACAATGGAGAAGTGGTGGTTTTGTGGCCACATTCGCTAATACTACGAAGACAAGACGACTGCAAATAGCAGGGCATGGTGACTCATACCTGTAATCCCTGCATTCTGGGAGGCCAATGTGAGAGGATTGAGCCCAGGAATTCAAGACTAGCCTGGGTAACATAGCAAGGCCTCATCTCTATAGAATATCAAAATTAGCTGGGCATGGTGTCATGCACCTGTAGTCCCAGCAACTCAGGAGGCTGAGGCAGAGGGATCGCCTGAGCCCAGGAGGCTGAGGCTGCAGTGAGCCGTGATCATGCCACTACACTCCAGCCTGGGTGACAGAGTGAGTTTCTGACTCAAAAACACTATTTATTGCAAATAATCAAGTTGTTAAGTAAACTCCATCTGCCACTGTCTGCTAGGTGGGTTAGAGAGCCTGGCCTTGGCTGGATGAGGCCAATCTGGGGTGGGGTGAGGTATTGCCCCAGGGACCACATGATTCCTGATCTTGACTCCAGAACTGTCCCCCCTTCCTGGGTCTCTGACCCTGCTGGGTTGACAACTTCAACAAAGGCTCACCGGGCCAGTCTAGAATTCTTTATGGCCGAACAATATGGTCTAGGAGGCAGGGCAAGAGAACCCTATTGGCAGGGAGTGGTACCTGGAGTATTTTCTGACACTTCAGGGTGGAGACTAGGGGATGGAGTGGAGGTGGCAAAGCTTCTTCCCCAACCCTCAGCTCTCTGTTCTGACCATGAAGGAGATAGGAGAGCTGGGTGGCTTGAAACTGCTAACTATGGATATGGGGTCTGGACTTCTCTCTTCTTTGGTTTCTAAGAGGAGCAGCCTGACAGGAATGTGCCAGCCATGGGGGACCAGGCCAGCTTGGTCTGCTTGTCTGTGCCATGGCCCCTCGGCTCCAGCCACACCTGGATGTGTGAGGGCCAAGCCCAGCGTTCCCGGGGCAGGAAGCAGGCCCACACTGCCTTCCAGCTGGGGCAGCAGCCTCCCCACCTACTTCTCCACCAAGATCCTTGAGGATAAACTCCTCCCTCCAAGAGGCCTGTCTGCATCTCCCCTGCAAGGCCTCATGGAGCCCAAATGCCACAGGGGCACAGGGTCATGGCCCTTTCACAAGGCTGGAGATGTGGGATCTCCTCAACAAGGCCTATAGGCTCCAGTGTCCACTCCCCAGCCCCAGTGGATCCAAGGCGGCTGGGGGCTTCTGCAGGGAGAGGCCATGTTTCTGGAAGCACCAGCTCTCCCTGGGGGCTGTGACCTCCATCCTCCTGTGGTGCCATGGCCACAAGGCAGGAGGAGCTCGGGTCATGGCCACACCTGCCCTGGGAAGGGAGAGTTGGGGGAGGGAGGTGGTGGAGGGTGAGGGCAACAGCCTACCCTGGTCCTTGGCCTGGTAGTTGTTGCAGGTCTCATCAGGAATGCCGTGCTGGTGGGCATACTCCCACACCTTCATATCGTCGCCCCCCTCGCAGGAGCCGGCCTCAGCACAGTCAATAACGTTCTGCACCGACAGCAGGGCAGAGGGCCATGCACCCTTCCTCTTGATGTTGATCCGATCTGCAAGGGCCAGTACCCACTGATCAGCACCCAGCCTCAGAAGCACCCGCCTACTGGCTACCTTGCTAGGCTGCAGAGCTCTGTCCAGCCTCTCCTGCCTCCTGCTCACAGCCCCAGCCACCCATGTCCTCCCTGGAGACCCTCTCCCATGCTGACCTCTTCATCGGAGGTCTCAGCTCAGCTGTCTCTCTCCAGAGAGGCTTCCCTGGCCCTCCTTGGATGCTGCCCTATATGCCACACCCCCAACTACAAATGCCACAAGGACAGGGACAGGTCTGGGCTGTCCACACAGTTTAGCCCTGCAGACACCCAAGGGACTGTGCCCAGCACAGGATGGGTGGGGAGAAAGGAGGGAGGATTCAAAGACAGCCAAGAAAGACACAGTCCCTGCCCTCATGGTGAGGGGGCCGGCTGAGCACCTCTGTGGATGTGTGCAGCCCAGGGAGCTGTACGGGCTCCCCATGAGGGGCCAGACACTGTCCAGTGGGCCAGGGAAAGCCAAAAAGGACCCAGCTCCCAAGGGCACTGGAGAATGCAGAGGGCACTGAGCAGTCACCCAGGAGCCTGTCAGTGTCGACGCCCTCATGGCCCAAATGCCTGGGCTTATACCCTGAGGGGCAGCCAGAGACAGTCTAGAGTGGCCACGGCACCCTCCCCAGGACCACCGACCTGCTTCTCTTCCCATGCAAAGAGAATAAGCAGAGGAGGACCCTGGCCTTGCTGGCCAGTCCTACCCTGGATCAGGGTTCTCTCACTCTCCCATAACAATGACTTCATAGCCACACACCCTGGTCATCTGCCTCAGCCTCATCCCACGCCCACCTCCATGTCAGAACTCTCCCTTCTTGGGGTCACAAGGAGTGGGGTCCCTCTGCCCATCATGGCCTCCTCCAAGTGTGTGCCCCTTGTTGCCCTCCTGTGCCATCTGTTTCCAGTGTTACCTTCCAGACGCTCCTCCACTGCTCACACCCTGCTGCTCTGATCAGCCTAGTGGGTGCCTAGTGGGTGCCTCCTAGAACTGCCCCCTGATGACCTTGCTTCACACAACACTGAAAAGACCCAAAGCAGCCTCCTCATCCTGCCACCACTCTCCCTAGAAAGCTCTGCACCCGTAGCCAGGCATGGTGTCTCATGCCTGTAATCCCAGCACTTTGGGAGGCAGAAGCAAGAGGATTGCCTGAGCTCAGGGATTTGAGACCAGTCTGAGCAATATGGCAAGACCTCATCTCTACAATAAATAAATTAAAAAATCGGCCGGGCATGGTGGCGTGCACCTGTAGCCCCAGCTACATGGAAGGCTGAGGAAGAAGGACCACCTGGGTCCAGCAGGTCAAGGCTGCGGTGGCTGTGAGCATGCCACTGCACTCCAGCATGGGTGACAGAGACTCCAACTCCAAAAAAAAAAAAGCTCTGCACCCCATACACACACCCTGGGTCAGCATGTGACCTTGTCCTCACCTATGGGACCCCAGGCCCCATCCTGCCTCCTTCCCGAGGGCTTGCCCCCTCCACCACCCACATCAGCAACACACTCAGACTCGCCTTCCTTAAGACACCACCACGGAGCCCCTGGGATCCCCTTTTCCCCTTACTGCCAATGTGCTCTGCCACACTTGATCACTTTAGACAGTGTTCCCACCCCCACTGCCTCCACTTTTCCTTCATCCCTTCTCCTCTGTCACTTCTCCACCCTCAACTGATTCCACTTCTCCCCAGCAGTGGCCAGCAGGGTGGTCGACCCTTCCTTCTGGAAGCATATCCTGCCTGGTCTCTGGGGCCTGTGTCCTCAGCTGTCCCCGTCTCAGGGCAGCCAGTCTCTGCTCTGCTCAGGCAGTGCAGGGTGTCCCATGCCCCCTGGGAGGCCTTCCCTCCTCTTGAGACTCCCTCCTGCCCTCCAGGTGACAGCAGTCCTGGCTGAGTGACAGAGCCTTGCTGGATGGGCAGTTGCAGCCCCAACTCTCCCTCTCCACCCAACTTGGGTGTCTAGACCTGGCCTGAGCAGACAGCTGAGGTTTGAGCCATCTTCCAGTGGCCAGACACGCCCTCCCTGTGCTCCCCAAGCTTTTGTGCTCCCATCCACCTGCACGTTTTACTCATACCTACCCATGCTCAGCACTGTGTTGTGCTGGAAACACAGCAGCAAGGGAAGTGGACAGACTTCTCCCTGATGGGGCTCATACCAATAGTGGGGACAGGCCACAATGCAGATACACCCCAACCAGAGACTGTCTGACTTGACAGTGGTTTGAAAGAGACATGCATTCAGCAGAAGCTATAGTCAGTATCACCCAACCACTCTGTGATTCACTTTCAGTTCATATTCAGTACATTAGGTGAGATAGACAATACTTCATTATAAAATGGGCTTTGTGCCAGTCACGATGGCTCACACTTGTAGTCCTAGCACTTTGGGAGGCTGAGATGAGAGGATCACCTGAGCCCAGGCGACTGAGGCTGTGGTGAGCCATGATCCTGCCACTGCACTCCAGCCTAAGCAACAAAGTGAGATCTTGACTCAAAATAAATAAATAAATATATAAATAAAAATAAATAAAATAGGCTTTGTGGGAGACAGTTTGGCCTGACTGTAGGCTAACCCAAGTGTTAGACTAAATGTAGCATACATTTAGGGCAGGCAAGGCCATGATGTGTGATAGATTAAAATGTATTAAATGGCTGGATATGCTGGCTCACGCCTGTAATCCCAACACTTTGGGAAGTAGAGATGAGCGGGCTGCCTGAGCCCAGGGGTTTGAGACCAGTCTGGGAAGCTTGGTGAGACCTCGTCTCTACAACAAATATTAACAAATAAAAGAAACCCGCCTGGGCAATTTGGTGAGACCTCATCTCTACAATAAAAAAATTAGCTGGGTGTGATAGCGCACGCCTGCAGTTCCAGCTACTTGGAAGGCTGAGGTGGAAGAATCGCCGGAGCCCAGCAGGTCGAGGCTGCGGTGGCCGGGAGTGGCCACTGCACTCCAGTCTGGGCGACAGAGTGAGACTCCAACTCAAAATAAATAAATAAATAAATAAATAAATAAACAAATAAAAAATTAAGCATGGTGGCACATGCTTGTAGTTCCAGTTACTTGGAAGGCTGAGGTGTAAGGATCACCTGAGCCTAGCAGATTGAGGCTACAGTAGCCATGAGTGTGCTACTGCACTTCAGCCTGGGCAACAGAGTGAGACTCTGACTGAAAAAAAAAAGTATTAAATACCCTTCCCATTTAGGATATTTTCAACATATGACGGGTTTGTCGGGACATAGCCCTATTATAAGTCAAGGAGCATCTGTAAACGTGCAGGATGTGTTGCCAGGAGAATAAAATGGAGAGAGAATTCAGGGTGTGAGGTGTTGTTAACAGGGTGATGAGGAGAGGTATGCAGGAGGGAGGGAGGGCGCCAAGGAACATGGGGACGGGACAGGAGGGATTTAGTATAAGTATCACCCTGTTTCACCCTCGGAGGGGACAGGGACAAGAGAGGAATAGAGAGCAGGACAGGAGGGGGGTCTCACAGGTCATGGAAGGACCGAGCGCATGTTGTCACCTGGCCAGACTCAGCCCTTCACCCCACCCCCTTGTCCCCTATCCACCAGCTGTTTTCACTCACACCTACCTTGTGCCTTGTCTTTTATCTGAGTGAAATCATGGAGGGTTTCTGGCTTGGATCTTTTTTTTTTGAGTGATTCTCACTCTGTTGCCTAGGCTGGAGTGCAGTAGCATGCTCATGGCCACTGCAGCCTCGAACTGCTAGGCTCAGGCAATTCTTTCATCTCAGCCTTCCAAGTAGCTGGAACTATAGGCATGTACCACTACATCCTGCTAATTTTTAATTTATTGTAGGGACAAGATCTTGCCAAGTTGCCCAGGCTGGTCTCGAACCCTTGGGCTCAGGCAATTCTCCTACCTCTGCCTCCCAAGGTGCTGGGGTTACAGGCGTGAGCCACTGCACTTGGCCTGACTTGGGTTTTAACAGGCTCGTTCTAGCAACTTGAGATCAGCCAGCTGGCCAGGAGGGCACTTAGGAAGAAACAGGCAACAGGCCCAGGTGAGAGACAGCAGGAGTCCTGTGTCTGTTTTAAAGGTAGACCCGATGAGTCATGTGGACAGAGGGCATGAGGGACAGAGAACAGAGCAGCAAGGTGCAACTGCACGCTTTTGCCTGAGTGCAGAAAGGATGACAGGAGGACTGCAGAAGAAAGAGGCGCTGGGGTGCAGGCGGGGAAGGAGCTGTCCAGACCTGAACTTCCCAGGCTGGAGCGCCAGGTGCTGAGCACAAGCCAGTGGGCAGGAAGGAAAGGTAAGCTCCGGTGAAGGCCTGATCCTAGAGCACCCAACGTTCAGATGTCTGAGGAGGGGACAGCCAAGGAGGCAGGAAGGACCGGCTGGGGGTGGGGGAGGTGGAGGCAGTGCATGTGGTGCAGGGGAGGGAAGAGTTCTGGAGAGATGAGATCAGCAGAGGATCGGCTTGGGGCTGACCACACCCTGCCCCATGGCAGCTGCCCTCAGTGACCAGGGCTAGAAAGGTGGAGTGGTAGAGGTGGGAGTGAAGCTGGCCTGGGTTCAAGGATGGAGAAGAGGAAGTACGGGGACTCCAGGACCCCCCTCTGGAGCTGCAAAGTGGGGTGATCCAGCGGCTTCTCAATTGTTTGTTTGAGGTGGGACAGCTTCCCTGAGGGGGTGCACTCAGGGAGGCAGGGCCTTGGTGAAGACCTGGGATGCTTGAACCTGAGGGACAGGAGGGAGCTGGCAGCTGGCAGGTGGCCAGGCCTCCATGGAAGTCCCCTTCTGGTGGCTTCTACTTCTCAGTTTAAGAGAAAGCAAGGGCCTTGAGGTTTAAGGAGAAAGAGGTGACAGACATCAACTTGGAGAGTCCACTTGAGAAATGCGGTAGAGGTGACCCCTGGCCAGGACCCGGCCCCGCCCCAGAAACCTCCCCCCATCTCCTCCCTTCCTGCAATCCCCATCACCTGACTCTCTCTCAAAGATAATTCAAGGCTTGCCCACATCCCCTGATAACTTAGCTACTCCTCTTCAGTCCCACCCCACCCTCTTTCACTTCCTCAGTGGGCGCCAGTCCATGGCACTCCCCCTGGACTTTGCTCAGTCCCTGCCTCTAGGCCCACCCACAGCCTCCCAGTGGTTAAGGCCCTGTCCGTCTCATCTCCATCTAGTCACAGGGGCCTCTGAAGGGTCAGGAGTGTGCTTCAGTCCCCAGTGATCTCCTCACTGTTCCCAAAGGCCACCAGAGGACACAGTTGCAGTGGGCTGGCCCAGGGGTCCTGATACCCACTCCTAGGGCAGCAACCTGTCATCTGAAAGATAGTACAGCAGACATCCTGGCCCAAAGCCCAGGCTTTTGGGCTCAAATCCCAGCCATCAGTCACACCATGGCCAAGTCTTCTGGCCTTCCTGCAAAAAGCCTCGGTTTCCTCCTCTGCATATTGAAAACAATCACAGCAGCAGGAGGCTTGAATGAGATGATGCACAAATGCATGCCACTGAGCCTTGGCACGTGGCTCCAGCCACATTGCAGTTAATCCTTTGAACATGGGTGCACACGGCAGTCCTCACCCATAGGGCACCAAAGCCAGGGGAAGAGGCACCAGCAAGCCAGGCCTCCTGAGGCCAAACTCCTAGCCCGAAAGAGTCCCTTCTACAACAGCAGTCCAGGCTCTTGGCCCTGGAGCTGTGACTGTAGAGGTGGGTGCAGGGTACCTCCCAATGCTCCAGGTCAGGCCTGGGACAGGTTTCTTCTGCCTTATCTCTCAAAGGCAGGTGCAGTGGCTTCCTTGACAGGGTGGACTTCAGCTTTCCCTCCCTTCCTGCTGTGGAGCATTCCTGTCCTCACAGAGGCCAGAGTCTAAAGTCCAAATAAGAAAATTAGCCAGGGTAGGGGCAGTGACTAGGTAAGGCCAGGGGCTGTGTCTGGTCTACCTCACTCAACATTCCTTGCCCAGGTCAGGAACTCATCTCCAATATTAACTGCTGCTAGAAAGTTTCACTTCTGTGTCCCCAAATACAGGTTAGAGGCTTGGTGATTTTGCATTTCTGGTTCCAGCCCAATGGCTGAGGTCACAAGGCTTGAGCGGGAGAGGACACTTGGGAGCATTGGTCACTGGGCTTTGTCCCTGTTCTGCCTATCATCTGAAAGCCCCAAAATGATCCACCGTGGGTCACTTCAGCAGAGGGCAAAAGCCAGCATCCTTAGGCCTGAGAGGCTTGGCATACCCCGCCCAGGTCAACCTGGCACATAATCACAGGCTCCTAGAACCCTGGGCTGTGGCTGCCTGTGCTGACTACGAGGCAGCCTGGAGATGGCTTCCTGGCCCACAGCCATGTGGCAGCCACCCTTCCCACTGTGGTGCTGGTGTTGCCCAGGGACAGATAGGGCCCCAGGCCCTAGTCACCCACCTGCCATGGCACTGGTGCTGCTGTGGGCCCAGCAGGAGCCGCAGTACTGGGGGATGTGCTGGTTCCGGGTGATGCTAGCATAGTTGACACCATTCACGTTGCGCCAGTCCCAGCTCTTGGGCAGATCCCACGGGGACAGGTACTCATGAGGCCGGGGGTATGTTCTGGGAAGAGACCATCACGGAATCACTGCAGGGGCTCCTGGGGCTGCCACCCCCTACCACCCTCACCCTCCACCAGGCCATGGGACAGGCAGCCCTCCTTAGCGCCCTCCTCCCTTTCCCAAAATGTGAGGCAAAGTGTGTAAGCCCCTCAGTCACACCCATCTCACACCAGGAGACCCCAGCACTCTCAGAGTGTGAAGGAGACAGGGCATTCCAAAAGGAGCAAACCGGAGTGCTCCGGGAGCAATTGTGGTGCTGGGGGCAAGCCTCAACGGCCACGACTTGGTGGGGCCCTGTCAACCCCATAAACAGGAGGCCTTGCCCTGGTTGTGAAAAAGGAGAGACCACCAGAACCAAGAGGCAGGACCTGACCTCCCAAGGTCTAGGGAGGAGGCAGGGTCGGGAGTGCGGGAGATGGACCATCCCCCACCCAAGGCCTGCCTCCCGCCTCGCCGGCGCCCACCTGCGCCCCAGCTGCGACAGCTGGTCCCCCCGCAGGGGTCGGTAGCAGGTCTGGCCTGGGCGGAAGTAGAGGCCGGCCCGCGCCGCGCCCGCCAGCAGCATGAGCAGCAGCAGCGGCCGCGCCTGCCCGGACGACGCCATGGCCCCGTGCCTACGCCTCTCCGGGTCCCAATCCGGCTCCCGCTCCGGATGCCGCTCCGGATCTCGCTCCGGGTCCCGCTTCGGATCTCAGTCCGGATCCCGCTCCGGATCCCGCTCCGGGTCCCGCTCCGGGTCCCGCTCCGGATCCCGCTCCAGGCCCGCTCCCGATCTCTCTCCTGATGGTGATCCCGCACCCGGCCGCCCCAGGCGCTCCGGGCCCCAGCCCCGCCCGGCCCTTAAGGTGGCGGCCGCCCTGGCCGGACACACCCCCGGGGCGGGGCCGTCCCGCTGCCAGCTCCTGCCCCGCCCGGGACCAGCGCGCACAGCCTCCCTCCGGCTCCGGCGCCTGAACTCCTGGTCTTGCACGAGGTCAAAGAGTTAGACTCCAGACCTGACTCCACCGCCGGCCGCCAACCACCGTGGTTTCGTGGCTTAACTGAAGGCCTGACTGTCAAACCGGACTCATGGAGGGAGGGGAGGGGTGTGCTGGCTCCCCAAGCTGCGGTCTCAGATGGGGCGTCCCAGCTCTGGATTCTTGGGACCCTTGGCCCTGGAGAGATTCCCCCAGCATCCCATCTGGGCCCAAGGCCCCCAAGGAACGGATTTGGGGAGTCCTGGGAGGAGCCCACTGTCCCCACAGAATTATGCCCTGGCCTGACTTTCTGAACCCCGTTCTCCAAAGGCCCAGGCCTTTTCTAGATGTTTGCCTTTTGTAGAGAAGGGAGGTGGGGTCCTTCTAGAAAATACCCCTAAAGGATCATTTCACTTGGCACATAAACCACGGGTAGTACATTCTGACTTCCAAAGATGCTTGGAAGGGGTTTCTGCTGACAGAATTCTTTTTCGTCAAATGAGGAACCAAAAGCAGAAGTGGGACCCCCAGGACGGGATTTCATAACTTGCAAGGGTTCCTCGTGAGCTGTGGTCATAGTGAGTGGGTCCCACAGTGGCTTCCTTCCTCTTGTGGGCAAAGGGTCCAGGCATCCCCCCCAGGGTCTCCACAGGCCTTAGCTGGGTCGTCCTCTGTATGGGGATCCCAGTCGACCTTGTCCGGCTCTTTTCCATGTGCAGTGGGCACTCCCTATGTTCTGCTGGGCCCTTTCCTCTGCTGGTGCCAAGCTGGCAAGCAGAAACCAAAATGGCTGCCTCGCTGGCTTCCAGGAACTTTTGTGACTGCCCCTGGAAGTGACACCAGGTAGGGTGCGGTGCAAAACTTGTGGATTCCTTGGCTCATCTCTAAAATGAACTTTAGAGCAGCCAGCAAAGTATTAAAACAGAGCTTATTAGCCAGAAGAGAGGGGAAAAGGAAGATTCATGGCAGAAAGACCTGCCGTGGGCAAGTTTCTCAAAAAAGAAAAACCACACCGGGCACGGTGGCTCACACCTGTAATCCCAGCACTTAGGGAGATGAAAGGATTGCCTGAGTCCAGGGATTTGAGAACAGCCTGGACAACTTGGCCAGAACTCATCTCTACAATATATCAAAAATTAGTCCAGCATGGTGGCACGCGCCTGTGATTCCAGCTACTTAGAAGGCTGAGGCAGAAGGATCACCTGAGCCCAGCCTGAGGCAGCCTGAGGCTGCGGTGGCCATGAGCCTGCCACTGCACTCCAGCATGGGCAACAGAGTGAGATTCCAACTCAAAAAAAAAAAAAAGAAAGAAAGAAAAACTGCTCTTTTGCTCTCAAGGACAAAGGACAAACTGGGTATAGCTACCTTGTTACAGATATGCTAATTAGGGCAGAGCACAGGTAACTGCTGCCTGTTCCACCTCTGCTGAAGGGAGGGGTGGTCTCATCATTTCTAGGGTTTTGATCAGTTAAGGGGTGGGATTGACCTGGCACGGTGGCTCACGCCTATAATCCCAGCACTTTGGGAGGCGGAGGTCAGAGGATTGCAAGAGCCCACGGGTTCAAGACCAGCCTGGGCAACTTGGCATGACTTCGTCTCTACAATAAATAAAGCAATTAGCCAAGAGTGGTGGCACACACCTGTACTTCCAGTTGCTTGGAACCCTGAGGTGGGAGGATTGCTTGAGCCCAGCAGGTCGATGAGCGTCCCACTGCATTCCATCCTGGGTGACAGAGCGAGACTCCGACTCAAAAAAAAAGGGGTGGGGGGAAGAGTTGGGGTTGAGTTTTGTTCCTTCAACAGGGAAACTGAAGACTTTTTAGTGATTATAAGCTGAAAGGTTCAGCTGTCCTATTATATCTGATGGGATTTTGATTGGCTGAGGGGATGAGGTGGGCCACCAGCTTGGCCTGTAGTAAAATGTAATTTTAAAAATGTTTGAACGCTTCCTAAAACCTGCCTATGGGAAATGTGTCTGTCTATGTAGAAACTGTACTAGCCACCCTGCCTCAGAAGTGCTGAGGTGACCACAGACTCCCAGCAGGACTGGGAAGCCTGTCTGACAGCACCTGTCTGAGCATGGGCTCCGTGAAGGCCAAGGCCGGGAGCTGCTTCTTCAGTCTTTGTTCCTGAACAGTGGTCACTGAAGCCAAGAGTGAGCCCAGAGCTCTGTTTGTTGATGAGTCTTAATCTTCTCAGAAAGTCATTCATGATAACCCTTAGCATCAGCTCGTCATTAGGAGGTGGGAAGGGGTGGCAGAAGTCCCAGGCTGAGCTGGGGACCGGGAGTGGAGGCAGAGCCTCTCAGGCTCTGGGTGTAAAGGCAACAGAGAGGGAATTGCCAAGTGGGGCTTCTCTCCTCTCACATTAACTCTCTGGCCTCCCTGACTCAGGGAACCAGGTTGTTCTTATGAGCAAGAAACCCAGGAGGTCCCTGGGATGTCATCAGGTGGCATTTGAAGCAGTGGGGTTCTGGTCTCTAAAGAAATAGCTAAGAACTCACACAATTGTAGGATAACAGGTATCATGCCCCTCCTAAGTACTCACAGACTGTCGGGACGAGAGGGAAGAAGTCCAAACATTGGAATTCCTAATCTTCACGTTAGGAAGGAAAGGGGTGTGATGAGAGTCCCTTGTATACACCTCTTCAGTCCCTTGTGATGGTCAAACACAGTGAAGTCACACAGATCCACAGCTCCTCATCTCTGAACTTGGCTCTGGTTGGGTAGATGTGTGTCCAGCTGACAAGTCGGCTGGTTGCTTCACTTTGGGGGTTACTAAATTGTGCAGGGAGAGTCCCTGTCATCAGAGGATCCTAAACACGTCCCGTTGAGAGAGGCAGCCACAAGTCCAACCAAACTCAAATTCCAGTGCTGCTTCTAGTGAAGGGTGTTCAAGCTGAGGACTTCTCTGAAGGGCACACGGATAAAGTAAGAAGATGGCACTGTCTAACCACACATCCTACAGTTTTGGAGACAGGAACCCCTCGAGGGCAGGGCATACCTGGATTTGGCATCTGATGCCTGGGCTGTGATATCTTGGGTCTTGTCCCTGATTCTGGGTGGAAAAGCACCCAAGTTCCAAGCTCTTTCATTCATGTAGTGTTGAGAGATCTGGACTGCTCTGAAGATGCTCAGGGCCAGTCTTCCGCATGTAGGAGGTGTCATGACAGGCAGGGCTGGCAGTTTGGGTGCACAACCTGCAGTCACAAAGGCCCTGAGCCCAGAACAGCAGCCCCATATGGTGTCATGAAGCTGGACAAGAAGTCCTGCGTGTCCACTGTGCCCTGGGTCCTGCAAGTTATTAGCTGGGTCTGATGGTGGTTGCTCTGCCTACTTTACCCTCCATTGCCTGATCATGAGTCCTTCAGATACTCTCTGCCAGCCCAGAGCCCCTGGTTAGTCAGACTCACAAACAAGGGCCAAGTCCAGGGGCCAGAAGTTCACTGGGGACAATAAATATCAATAGTCCAAAAAAAAAAAAAAAATCCACAGTCCTGCTCCCGAAGGCTGAATTGCAAGGCTTGGTTTATATGAGGAATGCCAAAGCAGAGACCCTAGGTTTATCCTGTGGAATGGTGGCTATGAGGAAGATATCGTTAGACTGGTGACATCCAAAGATGACAAGTGGTGGCACGCTGGGGTTTCCCAAACATAAAAGCAATTCAAACTCAGAAAATGATGGAGAATCATGGCAGGATGAGAAGGAGGAAGTCCAAATATTGGAATTCCTAATCTTCACACCAGGAAGAAAAGGGGTGAGATGAGAGTCCCTTGTGATGGATCAAACACAGTGAAACCACTCAAATCCACAGAAGTTGGCTCTGGTTGGGTAGACGTGTGTTCAGCTGGCAGGATGCTCTGACAAGCTGGTTGACTGTGTCACTTTGGGGGTTACTAAATTGTGCAGGGGAAGTCCCTGTCATCAGAGGATCCTAAACATGTCCCTTTGAGAAAGGCAGCCACAAGTCCAACCAAACTCAAATTCCAGCGCTGCCGCTAGTGAAGGGTGTTCAAGCTGAGGACTTCTCTGAAGGGCACACGAGTAAAATGAGAAGGTGGCTAGCACCAAGGAAGAGGAGAGACATGCTGAGAGCCTGACGGGCCAGCACAGCCAGCCCCTGCTGGAGAGTGTTTGCTAGAGGTTGGGTTTGTCTCAACACTCCTGGCAGCCTGGGGACTCTTGGAAACCTGAAAGGTGTGTTCCCTCCTGACACTGCTGCAGGTGTTTGCCAGGTCGTTTTGTGGATAGTGACTCACTTTCTCCTCTGGGCCTGGACCAGAGGAAGATCAAGGCAGGGCCCAGGACCTTCCTACCTTGGGGGTCCTCCTTGCCCAAGCATTGCTTCTAGCAGCTGTTTTATAAGCTGCCACCGCCTTCCAGCTTGCGGCAGGGTCAGCCAGGTTCTGGAGAGCCAGGCATCTCCGCTGAAACCACTGTAGAGTGCTTTGCTTGGGAAGCTGGCCACAGGCCCTCAGTTCTCCTTCCGGGAGGTAACCAAATCATTCCTGCTTCTGGCGGTGTTTAAGAGCAGAAAGCTGAGCCAGTGACAGCCTAGAGAACCCTGCGGCCCTTGTTTGAGCCTTTGTGCAACCTCATGAGGTGGGCCGCATAGATGCAACCAACCCATTCTACAGGAGAAAAGACGGAGCCTTCAGAG